GCGTCGGATTCCTGCCTCAAAAATAGAAATGCCAAGAGTTCTATAAAATATTCAAAAACCAAAACACGAAAACTCATCTAAACATCGATAAGAAAGCAGACCAGCAACAGCAAACGATTATCCAAGTTTACAGCTCAATTCAGTCGGAAATTTCCTTCCTTGAAATATCGGAAGCTATAAGGCGACTTGAAAACGGCAAATCACCTGGTAGAGACAAGGTTCTGAATGAATTACTTAAATATGGTGAAAAACATTTAATATCGCCTTTAAAACGACTATTCAATCTAGTACTGAAATCAAACCACTTCCTTGAAGAATGGAGTTATGGATTTATTGTACCAGTATTCAAAATAGGGGACCAAAGTCTTGCAGAAACGTATAAGGGGATAAGTATAACAAAAAGAGATAAATTAGTATCTAGGTCAACTTCTATGCTATAACCACCTCTTCATATTCAAATGACAAATCAGCAGTGAAAATTAAAGAAAGGCTGACATAAACAAGCTGCAACACTTTTATGACACATCTAATATATATATTAATGTAGACAAAACTAAAATCATGGTTTTTAACAATAGTGGAAATAGAATGAGTAACTCAGTTAATTTCTATATCAAATATATCTTGGAATAATCTTTAGCACTTTTGGAACTTTTAATAACGCATGAGAAGAATTAATAAAGATAGCTTTAAAGGATTTTTTTAAATTGAGAAAGGATCCTGACAGCCATTTCAGAACAGACATATCCCTGACTATCTAATTATTTCATTCACTAATAAAACTTATATACTATTATATGGAATTGAAGTTTGGGGTCACATTAAGGAAAACATTAATAACGATCCTGCAAAAGCAGTACACATAAAAGTTTGTAAAATGCTATTCTCTTCACAGGTAGCCCAAGCTTGGTTTCTGTGGTGTCATGTTATGAGAAAATGTATGGGGATTCATCAAAAATTTCAATAAAATCATTGAAACGTGAAATAAAGCCTCGAAATTTTACCCGATCATTGAGAAATAGCACTTAATCTTTAGCTCTGTGTGGTTATTTTTTAAATTTAGCCCGTTTTAAGTATTTTTCCCCCAACAGTAAGAAATAAGAGAAGGTTGGTGACTCGGGATCCCAACAGCGAACCATCACGAGTCTTTGAAACCTCGTACGTCTTCGAATTTCCTTTCTAGCGCCAAATTTTAGTCATAACCCTTCTCTCACATCCCTATTGAACCGAGAAAGTCTCTTTTTAGTTTTAGAAGGCAATTGATGACCATAAAAGGCAATCTTAGATTTAACGCTCTGATGAGTTTGCAACCATATCACTGATACAAAATGGAGTTGATCGAGTACAGCATCATCGCCTCCTCATTTGCCTTCCTCCTTTGGATCCTGTTTTTAGTGACTGCCATTATTTKATTCATAACAGGAAAATGGAACGATCTGGTGGACTTAATAGCCTTCAACGTGTTCCCAGGCATCCTAAAGTCCAAGAAAAACGACAGGAACGAGACTGTGGTTTATCTAAGACAGGGAAAAATTCTATTACAGGAAAAAACCCTCTCAGAAGCTAAGAAGGCATTGTCTCGGGTTTCTCTTCTTTTTATAACTTCTGTCTTCATCGGATTTGGTCATTTCCTTTTCCTCGAGTATTCATACGGCTGCAAAAACGATCAAAGTCATGATTGTTTCGAGTTCCCCATCCGCGATGGATTTCATGCTGTACGTGCAAATTGCTCTGACCCAGATATCTTGCAAGGCAAGACTCGAGTCATTTGCTACACATTGGTATTCCACTTTGAGCTTGCTGTTGGCATAAGTTACGGGATGTACAGGGTTTGCGAGGTGCTTTTGTCGCTTACTTCAACATTGTTCCTCAAAATGAACCAGAATCAATTGAGGTGTTTTCGGATATCAGTTTTGATTATCACGATCATCATTTATGTCATTACTCTTGTTCTTTCCATAGTCTATAAATCCCATCCTGTCTTTAGAATTAACATTAGCAATTTAAAATGGTTCCTTAATGTTTTTTTGGCATTTCTAACAATAAATTGGTATAACTTTTTTATGCCATGGGATAAAATTATCGAACAAAGAAACAGAGAAAATACTGAGGAAGTAGGCTTGCCGGATAACTTAGACCCAACAAGCTCGGCTTAATTTTTTTTCATGAGAAACATAAGAAACAAAAGACACCTCGCAGACAGTAATGTGATTAATAACGTACTCGCCAAAACATTYCAAAAAGAAAGAAAAACACGTTGAAATGGGGCAAGAAATGACCAATGAAATGTACAAAATAACATTATCCGTCAATAGCAAGTCACAAAAAATGAAAATATCTTAATCATAGTTTGAATATGAAAGTCTTCAGTTGCTATAGAAAGATGCCCATCAAGGAAAACGTATACACGTTAAAAAACTGTGCCCTAAAGTCTGAATGCCAAAACAATGTCATACGATCAAAACTCCACCAATCACAAGCCACGGAAACGGGTGCTGGCTTATTTTCAACAATTTCTTGGAAGCCGAGCTCAATTTGTTAAACATTGAAAAGACTAGATTTGCATTTCTTGGTAGCGATCAACCCGAATGAAGAAATCCATAGCAAAATACATACGAATGCCAAGAAGATAGAATGGCAATGTTGCCACAGACAAAACAATGATAGCTAGAAAGCTTGAATTACAACAAACTGTCTAAAATCAAGAGAGCATAAATACTGAGAAGGAAACTTCTTTAAGCGAGCGCGCCATGGGCTATTTTTGGTAACCGGATGCAGTTTAAATTTCACCTTACCATACTCCCGTGCGTCATTATTTTGCACAGATAAATAAAGAATTGTTTCTAATGACGAAACTTTTGTTTAATTCATAACCAGCAATGAGGTCTTCGCCAAGGGAGCTCAAAAGTAAAATACACTCTACATTCCTATTGCACCTGAACTCAGAACCGAACTAAACACTAGACTTTTACTCTCCCGTAAAAAAAGCACTGCTTTTCTTTTCAAGAATAGCGCTGAAAACGGTCTACAAACCCAATATTTTCCCTTACAAATTATTAAAAATGTCTATATGCAACAGAAACAAACCTTTTACAGTTTTTTTCTTGAGTTTTCATCACTTTTTTGGACTTTTGCACCAAGTGAAGTAGCCATGTTTGCTCTTTGTCATGTTGAGTCCAAAGCGAGCACTAAGTTGTGACGTATTTCCGGGTAAAGCTGCTCATCAAAAACCACTAAAATAAAGCGAAAAATATTCTCAATGATTTAACCTCCACCTGAAACAATTAGAACTTTAGACAACAACTTCTCTCATAAAGAAAAATGGAGAAATTTTTTATAGATTTGCTTTTTGTTTTGGACCCGGAAGTCGTTGGTCAAAAACTTTAACACAGGGATCCCAAGCAGTGTTATTGATCAAGGGTTCCAAAATGGCGGACGTCGTGTAGATAAATGTTCAAATTTTCTCAATAAAAATTAAGTACTTTTAGCAAATGCAATAATGTTTAAACCTAGAGGATCTGTTATCCAGTTCAACTGGCAAGATTCCCAAGAAGGCCGGGAATATTTTGCTGGAATTTTGAGAAGAAACAGACGTAAAGTGTTTGGTATGTGAAAAGATAGCTTTATATAATTCTCTTATTCAGTTTGGTGTCTTGTCTTTAGTTTCTGTTATTATCAGTCGCTTTTCCAAATGCTAGGCTTCAGCTTATAATAGCGAAGGGTTCTTTACGGTTGTGTTGTTTTATAAAGCCTAGTTTTGGGGAGGAATGGATTTTTGAAAAATTCTTTGATGAAGGATTAAGAAGGAAGAATTGGAGACTTCATGGTGATTATTGGCAGACTTACAAGTATGGAGTAAGAAAGGTAGCCACATACATACCATGGAAATATGGAAATGTTTCACTAGACAGCCATCTTGAGTTAAATGATTAAATAGCTCTTCCTTGATTAGCCTCACATTCAAGCACTTCAGAATGAGGTTACACAGGCCAGTTTAAACAATGGAATTTACCATTCACATGAGTACTAACATGGTGCCGTGTCATCTAGGTTCATTATTCTTGTCCTTATATGATAGGTTTACTGGAAATGCCCAGCCTCCCAATGCAGTCCCCCCCTGATATACTTAACTACAAGATACTATTGAGTGGCAAAGCTGGTATTGGTAAGACCAGCACTATAGCAAAACTCAGTGGACAGGGTAAGCAATGTTATTTACTTTATTTGCATAGAAACAGGCACCGGGGGAGGGGGGGTACTCCCTTTGTTCAGGAGGTAGGGGTAATCCCCTTTAGGGGTTCCGGCTCAAAAGTCAATTATGTAACATAACTCCATACCTTTTGGGGTCATATATATTATGCGCGTTATCCATGCTATGCCGTTGTTTACTTTACAATGATGCACTAAATATTTCTGTAATATGATCATTGTTGTAATCTTGGTATACGCTGTCCTGTCATTCGTTAAACCGGCATTGATAGCCGGGRTTAATAGTAAATTACTGAAATAAAGCTGTACCTTTTAGGGTTTGAAATCAGGTTGGTTTTAAGAGCCTTTTTAATTTATGCATACCTTTTAGGGGCTATTTTAAAAATCGACCGCCGATCATCCCTACCACCTGAACAAAGGGAGTTCCCCCCCTGGAACAGGCATTAAGGCAGTAACTTCATACAGGGACTATCGAGACAGGGGCCGTTTGTGTATACTGATAACACTTCAGCCAGCTATTAAGATAGTAATAAATGAGTAGAAAATGGGGAAAACTGTCACTAGGAACCCAACAGAGCTAGAATCCTGTCCTGCTTTAGTCTTGCGATCCTTGTGATAGCCTCCCTTAAAGAGCATCTTATCCAGGGAGTTCACTTTGGTTTTCTTTTTGTAACAGAGATTCCTCGCACCCATATTGAAACTCCTGGAATTCAGACATCTGTTATTTACTGGCCAGTCAAGGTAGCTGGAAATAATTTTGCAACAATTATTTTTGCAACAATTAAGCAAAGAAATGCTGCTCCATGTTATCAGAAATGGGAAAACATTTAAGCTAATGAGTTCTATCAATAAGATATAAAAGGGCTTACAGTATGATGTTCTAAGACCAAGAAAATGTGAAAGTCTAACCATTTGCAGATATTTTCAGAGCCAAGGCAACACCAGATACTCTAGTCAGATATTTTAAAAACCTCAGTATTGGTCTAGCTGCGGCTTAAACCCATGACCTCCCGTACAACAGACTGATGCCAAAACTGAGCTAATTGGTTGTGGTCAAGATATGGGGCACCCTCACCCTAGCATAATGATGTTTTTAAAAGGCTGCAAAACAAGCTATTTTTCTTCATGTTGCAATAATATATGTTTGTAAATTAAGACTTGTAAGGACTAATTGAGATTCTACTAGACTGTAAAGTCCTTAACCAGATTTATTTTATTTTATTTCAGCTCATAAATTCATCTAAAGTCGTGATATTCAGATTCCAGTTCTGGGACTGTGGGGACCATGTGAAGAAGAAATATGACCACTTACTACCTGTGAGTAACTAGTCTGATTGATATACATCACATACACCTTTTTCATAATCATAGGGGATTGTCTCCTGGTTCAACAGCCTATTCCAATTTGAAAGCATAATGCTAATCTACTAAGAATTCATACTCATGATTGTAAGCTGCATGGCTGCTAATAGCGCCTTAATATGCAGCCCGTAAAGTCCTCCACTGGTTATTATTGTAAAGCGCATTGAGACCATGTGAAATGCACTACCCCATTATCATTATCATTATTATTATTATTATTATTATTATTATTATCATCATCATCAAGGTGGCTTCTATAAATTAGAATAATCATTTAAAATGATTTTTCTAGAATGATGTAACTCTTTGAAATGATAGGACTTGATATCGTAGATAACATATATGTGTGAGTTTTGAAATCCAGTCAAAAATCATTTACACAACATATAAGGATTTAAAAAGCCAAAATTTACCAAAATGAGTCTATGAAGACCTCCAGCAAAATAAACATTACTTAGAACTTGACCTGAGCGCAGCCCTAACCAGTTCTACGAACTTATGTATTTGTGAGGAGGAATTTGCTAGGAACATTGCTTAACCTTAGGCCCTGGCTAAACGAGGAAACATGTTTCCAGAAACATGTTTACCGCGCACATATTTCCTTGATGTTTCCCAGTTTAGCCACATGCAAAATATTGCTGCGTGCAACGAATTTTGCTTCCAAGACACAAAAAAAAGTCCCGATGTTTCCTGACAGTTTTGCAACCTTAGGAAACATTTAGCCTGCGTCACATCTGGAATTTTCTACAAAGAAAATTCCAGATGTGACGCAGGCTAGGAAACATTTAAGGAAACATGTTTCCTCGTTTAGCCAGTGCCTTATTCCAGTTACTCAGTGTTGTAGTCTTGTCATAGGCCTGCAAGTCTAAAACAGACGCTGTGATCTTCTTGTTTTCCTTTACTGACAGGTAAGCTTTTGTGAATACTTGACCAAGTAGTGACCCTCCCCCCCCCCTCAGTATTTGCTGATTATCATCATTAAATTGTAATAGCAATAAGTATTAACCTTAGAGTACAATGCTTTTATCTTTTATTAATACAGATCAAGTTTTGATGAGCTGCCAAACCAAGTAAGTGAATCCTACTAAAACTTATTAGCACAAAAAAAAAAATTTTTTTTCAGTTTTTCACCTTTTGAATGGCTATGGATAACCGTAATGTATAGTAAAAACATACCCATTATCTAAAATTTGATTAATCCTTCTGGATTCTGAATTTTGAGCGATTTTTTTATTTTGGAAACCGGAACCGACCATGGCTGGACTGGACTGGACTTCGGTTTGCTGGATCTCCGGATCGTAAACACTATTTTAAGGCGAATTTGCAGCTCTTGTCCTATGATTTTCATTTTAACATTCATTACTAGTGATTTTATGATGAAATTTTCTGCAAAATCAAAATGTCTTTTAAATTATTTGAAAACACTATATTGGATATTGGATTGCAAAAAAAATTGCTTCTTGCCCTTATCATCAACCAACAGTCAAACACTTTAGTACTTTTGAGACTTATGTGTTACCAAGGTCTATTGAGTGTGATGAATACGTTTTTCGAGGTTTTCCAGTTTCCACATGTTCTAAAATGTCATTGACAGTCAAACACTTTCATCCATATTGCAATTCTTTTTTTGTATTCATGAAGGCCAATTTACACAATTTTTGCTTATAACTGTCGCACTCAACATGCTGACAACATAAGTATTTTGTGTAAATCAATCATAGAACTTGCTTGCAATAATTGTAACTGGCTGCTAAAACTTGGCGTTAGCATGTTGTGCAAGACGGTTATGAGCAAAAATTGACCACGATAGAGAGGGGTCATAGAGATATCTTTCATGTCATTTGTCTAGATAAACCATCTACTGGAACCAAATGAGAATGTTCTTACCTTGGCTCTTGCAACAAGGTAAGTTCCAAAATCTTCTGTTACTGTTAGTATAAAGAATAAAGAAGAAGATATCAGGGGATGGGGTAGGGGATGCAGTGGGGGAGATGAAGGGGGGATAACAGGACTCTCCTTTTTCTCATTTCCAATTATCATTTAGGGAATAACAGTGGTATTAGCCATTCCAGAGATGATGACAATACTCTGTCAAATTGGCATTGCAATGTATTTTGGGTTTTTTGGGGGACATATTTCGAAGAAGGCATCAATTACATCCTCTAAGACAGCCTCAAAACTCAATTTAATTATAACTTGACCCAGCTTCTTCCTCATCCTCTGAATGGCTTTTAGGGAGAGTATACTCGCCTCTCACCTCTAGGGACTCTAGTTTTGATTCCTGGTCTCTGCATCACATGTGTGTAAGTTTCTTTTTTTGTCTCCCCTGATTTGAGGTTTTTCTCTGGGTTCTTTAGTTTTTCTCCCTCTGCAATACTAAATAAGGTAAATTCCAATTTGATCTGTGAGGTAACCATGCCCTGACCAGCCCAGAGGTTATTTGAGGGTTCATAAAAATTGAAAATTGACTAGATTATTCTTTCATCATCCTGACAGATTTGACCAGTTTTTGCATAGTGACATCACTGAACAAGAGTTAAGAGAATTTGAAGAACAGTGGTCAATTCCTGTGCTAAAAATAGCAAATGTAGATGGACCCAGGCTCTCAGATGGTCGCAGCCTTGATGGAAGAGCAGGAATAATGGTAAGACTGGGAACAACAAGCTCTAAATTTGCCGAAGAAAGACCAAGAAAGGATGGTTCCAGGAAAAGTTTTAGTTGAATGAATGGGTAATATATAAAGCCGTGGGAAACGATTTTGATTCCTGAAAATATCAAATTCAAGTGTCTTCTCATGTGCAACCATTAAACAGAAAAATGATACTTTAGGGAATGACATGTGATTTGAAATGGGAAAACATTGCACCCTAGCTAGAAGGGTCCATTAGTGTGCTTAAGAATTCTAGAGTGAAGTATTTCTTTTTTTTTTCATCAGGAAATCGCACCAATCCTGAACACTCTAGCTGAGTTGCTATGGCAACACGATCAAGTCATGCACGCTGGTCGTGTTTCCCGCCAATCTTCTGGTTCCAGTCACCACTCTGCTGAACGTAGGATACGATGACTCGTGGTAATGGTATAGATCACCTCGTACTAATTCCTTATCTGGAGGTCAAAAAAGGAGTTGCTGTTCTAGTCGGCACTCTACCACTCTAACCATACATCCAACTGACCAAACCCAGCACCCATCATTCATCCCACCAACACTCACTATTTTATTTGATACACCTCTTTAGCTTGGGCGTAATGTTTACCCATCACAGACCACGTCACCCTCATAAGAATGAGATCCTTTGTTTGAGTTGCATCCGACAGCCATGTGTCTTTACATGCACAACCGTTAAACAAAATAATACTCAAGGGAATGACACGTGGTCTGTAATGGGAGAACATTATGCCCTAAGAAAAAGGAATAATACTCAAGGGAATGACACTTGGTATGTAATGGGAGAACAT